GCGCTTTGGTTCCTAAAGTTGGGCTTGGGACCCAATTATGGGTCATGAAGCACCTTGGATAATCTCCAGAAATCAATTTAAAGGGTAATAAAATAACTGCTGATGTAATATTTTCCCTGTTATTACTACAAAAACACAAAATAAGTATAAATAAGTATTTATATTTGTGTACAAGCTGTTTAGATTGTCAAAAAAAGCCTATGTTTTTGGGGTTATTAACAAAGTTTGTGTACTCAGACCAGTAATATTTGGGGTCACAAGTTTTTGCCATGGATATTTTGTGGGTCAGAAGATAAAAAGTTTGGGAACCACTGGCTTAAGGGACTGAAAAACTAGACAAGTGTAAACTTGTCGTCAGGTCAATGTATTAAACAAACTTAGGAGGAGATGCTATTTTTATACAGACATGGATAAGGTTTCTTAAGTTGTCAGTTTGAGTCATCGATTGCCTTTATTGTTAACTCAAAAAAAAAAAACACTGATAACAGTTATGCAGCCCAATTCTAATTTTTGTTAAACTCTGATCTGCTGATTAAGAATTTTGTTACACACAGTCTTAAGCAATGTTGATAGATGTCATGCTCAAAGTAAGTGCTCTGGATAACTCTTACATCCGATTTTATCTCGGTGTCTGTAAAACTGACTAAGTCGCACCCTTTCCAAAAATATCATTCAGAGAACACCTCTGATACACTGTGAGCTCTGTTAGCTTATTAAATCATTCATGATTTCCCCCTCATCTACCTTGTGTTTTGAGGTAACTTTGATGATTCTGTCGTTCTCCTCGCTTGTTCCTCCGCGCTTCTCCCAGCGGTTCGGTTTCTTTCTATTTGCATAGCCTCGGAGGTCTTCTGTGCCATTAACCTTCATCCTTGAGAAGTGTCAGAGCTTCTTCCCACCTCTGCTCCAAACTCTGACACGGGATCATCCTCCCTCCACCCGCTGTCTGTTTTTATCCCCCCGCCCGCCCCTCATCTCTGCAAGTCGTCTCCCGCTGTGTGAACTCTTGGCTGACAGGCTCCTGTAGGGCAGCGTGGAATTTCTGAGGCCTCGCGCTCGGGGCGAGAGCAGCTCTAATTTGTTTCAAGGTGAAGCGAGTTGAGTCAGTGTAGGAGAGCTTCATCAGACCGTACAACCTCCCCCACATTCGTTCGGCTGCTTCTGGGAGGAAAAGTTGGGCAGCTGCATGCTGTCTATAAAGCCGAAACATCTGTGGAAAAGAAGTCTTTGGAATGTCTGTTAGATCGACTGACTCAGCAGGCTTTACAACCCGCCTTCTCTGCCTTCTCAGCAGCAGCACTGAAAACAGGTTCTAAAGCTACTGTATTGTACAACCTTAAGGATTTAAAAGCGTGTTCAAGGTTTTAAGTTGTCATGTTCAGCGTAGTGCTCCCAGCACCTCAGAGGCCTCTCGGTACAAGATTTGTGTTTAAAAGTCATCAATGTTCTTGTAATTACTTTAATGGTAGCAGAAAGGTCGTAATAACTTATTACTGTTATAATGAGGTCCTGACTACCTTTTGGCATTATTTATGAGCATCCTCTAGCATTATTCCACTGTGCTGTATGTATTTTTTTAAGCCTAGCTTTGTTTTAACCACCAGCAACACTTTTCATGTTGCCTGTGGATGTTAGTGTAGAAAGTGTGCTTTATATTCAGGAAGAAAACTTAATGTTCTCTTTCTTTTGTCATTTGCCGCCAAAAAAGTATGGTGGGTGATGATGTTTATGCTTGTGAGTGTTTTACCAAAACATCTCATTGCATTGCACAAATTGTAATGAAAATTCAACATGTAAAAAGGATGGATGCCACACACAGCTAACTGACATTAGCCAACATCAGAATGTATATAACTTTGTTTTAAATATATTGAACTAAAGTTTGATGTAGCTGATAGCTTTAGAGAACATTATGCCTTTAATTATAAATGTTTCTTGAACTTTGATTAGTTTTTTATTTGATGCAAATGTAAATTGTGCATTTATTCAATTAAAAAACTTTAAAGCTTTGACTTTAGTATAAATGTTGTTTTGCCTGTTTTTTAAACACAGCATAGATAATGGCTCTAAACTATCAACGCAGAAGGAAAAACAACTGCTGGTTACATTTTTGACCACTTTTTATTTTATAAATAAAACAAAATTACAGGGTGATTTTTGCATAATGGCTAACAGACCAGTTGGAACAAAACATTCTTGTTCCTTTTTTTTAGTTAGATCCACACAGATTCTTTATTTGCCCACACTGAATCAAACTGTTGTGTTGTTTATGACCTTAAATATCATTTCAGACTACTTCAGGCTGCTTTGATCATTGTTTAGCTGCCCCGTGTCTTTGAATGCTCAGCTTGAGTCTTACTTTTCACCCCCGATGAGCTTGCTTGTAGAAAACATTGTGATCTTCTGGCAGTCCAGCCATCATTACAGTGTTGTGTGAGCCACTCTGTCCTTCTGCTTTTCAGTGATTCTGTCTCTTTGTGTTGCAGAGTACGAGGATGGTATCTTGTCATSGTGGGTGAACAAAGAGCGCTTTCAAGGATACCTTCCGATCGATGGCTTTACGTTGTACGAGCTCGGTGAAACAGGTGGCGTATGCTGTTTTCATACATAACACAACTCCCAAATTTCATGCTTATGTTTTGGATGATTTTTTTTCATAAAGACTATTATTA